ACTGCTACTGCTACTACTGCACAGTTTTGGTCGCTTGAGCTCCCCACTCCACTCTAAAATATTTGTAACAGAAAGTGTATTGATCAGTAAGACACTTTTTTTGGGGGGTGCCTAGTTGACCATGTTCTTAGTGCACTTGTATTCATGGCGAGGCGCAGACGCCGACTGGAGCTGACAGGTTCAATTCCCGGCACGGTAACTATAGCTTTCGATTTTTATGTTGTCTAGTGTGTTCTTCTATCTATCTTCTTCTTTCTATGAGTGCCGACCAATACAATTTCTGTTACTTGATTAATTCATAATATTTAACGGCCTCAAAGGTCCCCCCTCTGGTTATTTTTAAAATATTTGTAAGAGGACTGGCACGGTTTTCTTTGAGTTGGCGTCCTTTATCTGTCAGCGTCATAGACCGACTAGTGACATGATTTTGTATTTCGACTTCATTCGCTTTAGTCTGATACAAAATATGTTAACAAATAAGTTTCATAATTTTCTTGATATGTCAGTTTAAAAAGTTAGTAGCGTATACTTTACAGGACGTCCCAGAACCAGTCCCTGCATTTATTGGTTGTTTGAAATTTCTCTAGGCAGTTTTAGCTTCAATAGTTTGCCATTGCTCCTGAACGTTCGCAGCTGGGATCGAACCTGGTACTTCGGAATTGCAAACCACCTTTGCAACGCCTAAGCCACATTTGTCATTTAAGGAAATCCCCGTGTAGGTTCCGGGGCCCTATTACAGGGAAAACAAGAATAGACCCACTGCCAACCCAAAAGCATGTCTTAAGAGTCGACTAATTGGGAACTTCCTTCGAAGTCGGAGTGCATCTGCCTGAGAGGCAAGGAACCAGAGTCTGCATACATATGAGTGAGATTTGTAAAACAGATGCAGACGCAACACTCAGGTTCTGGAACAGGTCTGCAGTCCAAAAGTGGATGAACAATCAGAACTTTCCGCCAGAGTTTACAGCTGGTGAACACGAAGAAGAAGAAGATTTAGGGAAAGAGGCTAAGATTGGAAATTTGACCGCTGTAAATTATACATGTAGAATGTCTGGGATCACTCCAGCAGTTCCGTAGAACAGTCAGAGAATCCATACAGTGAAAGATTAATTCACCGAACCGGGAAAAAGTGGAGGGTGGGTAGAGATCCTGGAAGATATTGAACACTAAAGGGCGAACATAAAAACTGGCTGACTGACTGACTGACTTTCTACCCCACAAGCGATAAACACCCGGTGTCACTATGTGGTTGAGGATCACATTGGAGAGGTCCCAGAAACCGCGTTCAGCCATTAGGCCATATTTATGGCCGGGCTATATTGCGGCCCCTGGCAAGAGCCAGAGTAGGGCTTAAAATGACGAAAAATTGCATCCTAAAAAAGGACGGGAATATAACATAAAACTACCGATAACTGCCGTTATTACCAGTTATAATGTGTAGGCAAAAACAAAAAAAAAAGTGGGGGGGTGGGGGGGTGTCTAGAGCCTGAGTATTTACGGCCGCATGGCTAGTGCTGTCGCCACGACTGTGCCGGTGAGGATTTTATTTTGCCAAAGGGGGAACAAAGACGAACATTTTGTTTTAACCAGGTTGCAGTTGGTATTGTTAGCATGTAGACTCTTTGTTGACTACCGAGGAAGGAGACGAAACACTTGTGGGAATGTCCTGAGTGCAAGGATGCCAGTTCTTGATTCAGTCATTCATACATGTGTATGTAGGTCTAGGTGAAGACCTGTCGTTCACACACAGCGGCCGTAGCTACTGTTAGATCAGTGGATCTCAACCTTCCTAATGCCGCGACCCTTCAAAACAGTTCCTCGTGTTGTGGTGATCCCACTCACAAAATTATGTTAGTTGCTACTTCATTACTTCAGTGAACATGTGTTTCCGATAATCTTAGGCGACCCTTGTGAAAGAGTCCGTTGAATCCAAAAAGGGTTGCGAGCCACAGGTTGAGATCCACTGTGTAAGACCATGTTTGACTGACTGACTGACTGTTTCCTCCCACTCCGGGCTGTTGCCTGAGAATTGGATACCGAGGTTCAAGCTCCTCGGAATTTGCAGCTAGCACCTGAAATGCCTACACCAAATACCCTTCCAGTGTGCCTTTCTATCTGGCTGTGTTTTTTCCCTACAAGCTGCTAGTATCTGAAAGTGTGACACCCATGCAACTTAAGGAGCCATGCCCTGCATATCCATTTAGAAAATCTTAGATACACAGTTTATGTAAAAAACAAAATTTGTATTAAAAAACAAAAACAAAATAATTCTTTTTCATTCTACGATTGCCTTCTGTTGCCCTGGTACCAACTGCCACAGAGAGCCACGCTGAAGAAATATAATGAACACAGAGCAAGGGAAAGACCACGCAAGAGATGGGGCGACACCGGAGCAACCTAACAGAAATAAACACCAACTTGTACAAAGCAATTGGAAAAGCGCACAAACAATCCTTACATCTCCCCCAACACCTCGCTGAGGTAAATGGTGGAAGAGGAGAAGAAGAAGAATAAGAGGAAGATTGCATTCTGTAAGATTAACGTAGCTCATTTGCGAATCAAACAGAAGTAAGTCCTAGACACCCCGTTCAGTCGTATAAACGGAGCACACTAGGATTACGAATCAACCTGCAGTCCAGCCAAAAGTCCTAGAATGGATGATGCCCAATTTCGCAACTCGTAAGAAGAAATAACTAGGGCACCCGTAACGGCTACAGCCAGAACCACTACCCCGGCGTGTTATGTCGTCCAAAACCAGTAACGATCGACGAGTGTGTGACGATCTTTTTTAAAGCACTCTTACATTCCGCGTTGTCTTTAGTCATAAGTGCTTTTATCTTTTTCATGTTTAACCAGAAAGGAGACTTCTTCAGGTCTGAAGCAATTCATATTTTATTTAAAGAGCTGTATAAAAATTACTGAAAATATTTTGCAAAAAAATTATATTCCCACAACCCCTCCGATTGCACCCCGGTTAGGATTGGCCAGCAAAAGCGCCAGATGCTGACTCCACGAGCGCCTATTGACAGAATCTGCGCTTGGCGTGAGCTGATTGGTTGTCGAACCCCGGCTATGAATTCACAGCCGCGCGGGCCTAATGCTATTTATGTTGAGGTCATGTGGTAAAGTGATCCATTCAGTCGGCGTGAGCAGCACACGAGCTTCCGTGCGTTATTTGTCCTCGCGTGCTGGCAGCTGGAATACAACTTTTAGTGTTTCTTTCAACCGGGCTAGAGAAAGAAAAGTTGGATTTTATTACTTACTTTCTCGAGGCTTCGATTTTAATTTTGTCTTTGTTTGTAGTTTGGATTAACTAGAGAAAAAAAATATAAGAATAATATCTAAATGCAGGTATGTACTAATTTCGTGTGAAAAGATGGCTTACATGTTTTTATATAGTTTTTTTTGTACCCCTTTCATGCTTCAGTGGTGATAACTGCTTCTACTTCTTCTAACTGTGGTAACTTGGTATTGAAACCGTGTGATCTAGTGACAGTGCAGAACAAAGGACTACTGCCATACTTCGCGATTCCCAACAGCTGCAGTGGTATGGCTCAGAGCTGCAGTCCAAGTAATTACCCATTGTGTGCACCTGTTATGGTAAGTGTATTCTTTGACTTTCCCGGCACACGTTACTTCCGCTGTCCAGAATGTCTGCTTATTCTTTTTTCACTGCTCGACGATCTCCATTTCTCAGCTCTGCTTGCTTAATTCTTTCCCCCCAAATAGAATGCGTTCAGTTAACTTCTCAAGCATGCTGCTTTTGTTGTCTCTTGCTGCTTTTTTTTTCGTTTTGTGTTTTGTGTGTTTTTCTGCTATATATTTTCTGTCACATTCTAAGAGGTGGGGGGGGGGGGGGGGTGGAAGTTAAAAAAAAAATTTAGGTCCTGCTAATGTGTTCTTTATTGTTGTAACCCTTAAGCTGTAGTTTTAAAAAAATTAAAGTTGGGTGTTGAATATTGTTTTTAATGCTAGCTACACTGGTACCTCGATTTACGAACTTAATTCGTTCCTGACTGTGGCTCCTATCTCGAAGAGAAGTTCGTATATCGAAACCTAGTCTCCCATTACATTTAACATTGCTCCCTTTAAAAACAACTTTTATTGTTTTCATTCTCTGAAGGCATTTGCTCTTCCCCTCATCCCCCCCCCCCCTTTTTTTTTTCCCTGTTCGATAAATAACACTTGAAGCTTTTTCAGTGGCCAACTTAATGTTGTTATGCTCCTCTACAATCTCATGTCTTGTTTCGTCGACTTCCAAATGCGTGGTCTTGACCAAGGTGACAACTTTATCGCAGAGTCGTATTCCAGATAAATGCGACGTAGTTTAAAAACAGAAAAATCACAGCATCACAGTTCATATCTCGAATCTAGGTTCATATGTGAAGGTCCAAATGTGATATTGAAACAAAAAATTATATATCGAAAAGTTGGTAAGGAAGGCAGATAAGTCGAGGTACGATTGTGTGTATATATATATATATATATATATATATATATATATATATATATATATATATATATATATATATATATATATATGTGTGTGTATGTATATATATATATATATATATATATATATATATATATATATATATATATATATATATATATATATATATATATATATATACATACACACACATAATATATATATATATATATATATATATATATATATATATATATACATACACACACACACACACACACACACATATATATATATATATATATATATATATATATATATATATATATATATATATATATATATATATTTAGTTCATCAATTTGTTTGTTTATTTTACTCACCAGTCTGCTAACTTTGTTTGCTATCTTGTAAGTGTGCTGCTTATAAATTGCTTTGGTTTGTTTAAATTGGTTTTTGCAAAATATTAAACAATGATTATTAACCGCTTCCATGCTAACAACAGGTTACTCAATTAAGTGAAGAACAACTCGCCCATTTGTCAACAATAAAAACAGAGCCTTTTCAGGTAACAATAGAACACCGCTTTAACGTTAACGGATCACTCATTTCAGTTTATAATTCACCCTTTTAAGTTAAAGCGAATCATACATTGAACATGTCGCCTAAATCTATAATTGAATGTATGCATCTTTGCATAACGTTGGAATATGTCGGCATCTCTGGCTTGGGCGTTGCGAACGAGTTTCGTAATGCCGGGGTGCCGGGTTCGATCCCAGCTCCAGGACTTGCGCCTTGCGTTGGTTTTTACAGTGGTGTCGATTAGCCGACCCTCCAAAGAGAAATGGCAAACTACTGGACGTAAATTTGCCTAGAAAAAAAAGCACAACAGGCCAAAAAAAAAAAAAAAAAAAATGCTGGGGTTGGTTCTGAAATGTCCTGTAAAGGATACGCAGCTAACTTTAACATCTGTGTATGATTATTTATAACGTGGCTCCCATACTTATCAACACTCCTGGTTACAAATGAATCCAGTAGTAAACCGGCCGGTGCTTTATTAATATCTTACCCCAAACAGGGAAAATCCACAGGTCACGGGACAGTCTGATATTTCAGGGGGTGGCAGATAGGCTGCTTGCAGTCGTGGGACCTAGGCTACACTCTCTCGTGGGACGTAGGTGGGTTGGGATTAGGGCCAGTTCTAGATGTTTTGGAATCGTTGAAAGCATCAGAAAGCAGGGAAGCCCAGTCTTACGACCCTCTAAAATGTTGGACTGTCCTGTGACGTCATCAGGGGGGAAGGATATTTATAAAGCACCCACTGGCCATATCTGTAAGTCATCATCATCATTACCATCATCTAATAATACGTCACAAAAGGCAAACACACATTCTCTCTGTTCCTTCATGTCTCTCTAACCTACAGTCAGTCATCATCATCATCATCATCATCATCATCATCATCATCATCATCATCATCATCATCATTGTCATCGTCACCATCATCATTGCCGTTTAATACGTCACATAGGGCTCACACGCATTCTCTTTGTTCCTTTATGTCTTTCTAACCTACAGTCAGTCATCATCATCATCACCATCATCATCACCATCATCATCACCATCATCATCACCATCAACATCATCATTGCCGTTTAATACGTCACATAGGGCTCACACGCATTCTCTCCGTTCCTTCATGTCTCTCTAACCCATGCCAGCTTTTTGATAATAATATATCTAACCGTCACCTCTAGCATCTCTCTTCACCATTCGTCGTAGCGTTTCTATTGTTGAACCAGTTAGCGAGAATGTGTGGCCACAGACTTCTGCAGAACCATATCAGTGCAGAGCTACATATTCATGAAGAGCCTTTGGCCCACCCACGAGAACATTTAGGTCTACAGTGTGGGAATATGCATCCCTATGGTAATATACGGATGCTAGTCATTTGTTACTTTTCAATCACCAAAGAAGAATGTCGATTTAAAAAAAAAAAAAAAAAAAAAATTAATGTTACAACAAATTCTTAGAACACTACAGATCAGGTTGAAGGAAAAACAAATAAAAGATTTAAACATTGGAGATATTGAATGTTGAATTAAAAATCGACATCACAGCACTCAGGACATTCTCATGAGCCCACCGTCCGCATATTTAGCAGCAGGCGTCGAGTTCCAGTTCTGATGACACTAGAAGCGGTCTGGTTGTATATCCGTCTTGCCTTTCCCTTAAAGATTGAAGACAATCAGCATGTCTTGTCAGCTGAAATATACGGGCCTCAGTGATGCAGGAACTAAAGTCCCGACGTGTGGTTTCTGACAGAAAAGGCTGAAGGGTGATCTTCCAGCAGGAAAGCAGACCTTTGACGTGGGTGACGGTGAGCATCATTATACACGGGACATAGGAATTGGCCGTCGACCTTCCTTTCCACTGGGTACTGGGGTCCTGATATCAATGGGAAAAACCGATTCGCTGCCCCCCCCCCCCCCCCCCCATCCCCCCCCCCAATCCCCCCAACCTTCGTTTTTAAAAAGGCAACAAATTAAAAGTGTGGGTAAATCTGATATGCCGAAAGACTCAGATACAGCAACCGTATGCAGTAAACCGAAACAACCTACCACCAAAAGCTTTTCTTTTTTCGGTGTTCAGCAGAGGACCTGCTTGATACACTCAGCGCTGAGAGGAAAGGCAAGACAGGCATAAACTATCATCTGCTACTAGCTCTGTTGATATTGCGGCTGCGCTGCATGCTGAAGACGGGAACAGAGCACTTATGAGAATGCCCCAACTACTATGATGTCGGTTCTAAACTCAGTTCGACTAGTTGCATATCCATTACGGGACGTTGCAGAACTAACCCAAAACCTAGGTTTGCTGTTTAATTTTACTCGGCAATTTTACTTTCGGTAGTTGGATGAAGATGGGAGCTAGAGAATCAAGTTATAAAGATAGGGTGAGCTGTATGAAATAGAGAAAGATAGAACGACTTGGCATGAGTTGCTTGACAACCTATGCTCGACTGGCGGATAGAAGGCAGAAGAAGAAGCAGTCTGTCACTTCTTACATAAGGGTAAACTTTCGACAGCATTGTCGTAGTCAATGCAAAGAGATTTGCTGTAATGCATAAGCTGTCTGCGCTTGTATTATTTTGTTTTCTCATTATAAAACTTATTTTTAATGGCATCAGTTTATCTTGTCTTTAATATTACGACCTTGCCCCCAATATTACGCCGACCGTCAACATACGTCCATCCCCCTCCCCCCTTTTTAAAACCATTTGCTCAAACACACATCAATCGATTGTTGTCTGGACATTTTATGCTATGCTGTATCGATTATCTTTTGTACCCTTTTTCTGCTCAGCACACATTACAGGCTTTGGCCACCGATAGTTTAGCCACAGAATATGAGCATAGTGCATGAGGGGAAACATAGCAGATCGCACACACTCACACACAAACAAACTTCTGTGATAGGTTTATGCATGATCTGTGTTTACAGTTATAGACACAGATTGATGTACACACTGTTTGCAGTTATAGACATAGATTAATGCAGTTTCGTTGTCAAACACCGATTCTTCTGCCTAGTTTCACAAACTAGACACAAATAATGTATATACGGTCATAGGTAGTGAGTTATTTGAATATAGTTTCATATTCACAACACACACTTATATATACACACTGTCGTAATCATAGACTCATATATGTATAGTTCCACAATCATAGAAACATGTATGTATAGTTCCACAATCATAGACACAAACATGTTTCGCAATTATAGACACAGACCCATATTCACAAAGTCACAGTACGAGACACACACTTGGGTAGTGTTGGCACCGGAAGGGAAAATGGATAGAGAAAACAACAAATGATGTGCTAAGAACAAAAAAAGGCCCTGAATGAAACACAACTATTTGGACACATATAAGTGTATCTTTGTTTACCAGGACGCATCTAGTCAGTATACCCAGCTTGATGCTATCAGTGTCAACTTGGACCCTAGCTAAAACTATTAAAACATAACAGCAGAGATGAGATTTCTTTAAAGAGCTGCCGGAGTGACAAGAAGAGATCATATTGAAAATTAGGAAATTAGAAGACTAGGGCTGAAACCGGTGGTACAGTTGATTAAGGAGCAACATGAGAGATGGTTTGGCCACCTAACGAGAATGGATGGCACTATGGCATAAAATAACTAGGGTAACACAAGTGATTTACAGAGCACAGGACATAAGACCTTTGTGCAGTCTGTTGATTTCCAACCTCTTAGGTAGATGCATTTTGACAAGGAAGGATGCCCCCAGTTAGTCGACTCCTACGACTTGTATTTTAGTGTAGAAGTCCCCTTGTGGGGTGACATTTTTCGTTATTTGAAGCCCCACCCTGTCTTTTGCCGAGGGCCCTAATTATATAGCCGGACCACAAATGTGGCCATAACGGATGAAAGAGGTTTCTGGGACCTCTACACGTGTGATCCTCATCCTCATGGTGGTACTTTGTGTCACCGGGTGTTTATCGCCTATGTGATGTCCTGGTGGGGTACAACAAGCAAGCAGCAAGCATGTGAATCGCGTCTTATTTTCCCTGCAATCGGGCCACGGAAACCACACGGGGAGTGTCTTACTTTGCTTTAAAAAAAAAAAAAAAACTGCTAGGTTTTTTTTTTTTTTTCATCGATACCCCTCCACGACCCTAGCGGGTCAAGAGTTATGTATGTTTGTATTTCTTGTTTAGTGTTGTTCAGTACAAGACTAACTTCTGTGTCCCTTGTTCTCAACATTGTATTTCTATTTCCTTGATGATTTTGGTCGTTACAACATACGTAGCCGTGCAAACCTAAACCCTCAAGTCGGCATTGTTCTTTTGTCTTGTGATCTTGTTGACACTATTTCAGTGCGTCAGTTCATTATTTGTTTTTGATAGGACTAACACTATGCGGCTACGATGAAAGGAACTTCCGGACTTTGTGAATATGGTGTTATCATTGCAGGTGACTTTCCACGGAACTAGGTCAAACTAGAAACGCGTTCAAGACCGCTCCTAGGGCCAACTTGTATCGCTTGTCTCTTGTTCGTCAGTCTCCAAATGTTATATATCATCCTGCTTGTAGCACCGTCTGTCCCACTTGTTCATCAGTCTTCGACTGTTATCATCTAACTTGTATCTCTGTCTATCTTTCTATTTTTCATCAGTCTCCAAATGTTATCGTCTTACTTGTATCTCCGTCTGTCTCTCTTGTTCGTCAATATTTTAATGTTATCTTACTTGTATCTACTTCTGTCTCTCTCTTGTTTGTCAAGCTTCTGTTATCACCTTACTTGTATCTCTCTCTCTCTCTTTTTTTTCATCAGTCTCTTAATGTTATCATCTTCGTCTGTCTCTCTCTCTCTTGTGTGTCAATCTTCTAATGTTATAATCCTACTTGTATCTCCTTCTGTCTCTCTCTGTCTCTGTCTCTGTCTCTGTCTGTCTCTCTCTCTCTCTCTCTCTCTCTCTCTCTCTCTCTCTCTCTCTCTCTCTCTCTCTCTCTCTCTCTTGTTCGTCAGTCTACTAATGT